TGATCAAACAAGTATTTTAGACTCTTGTGATCAGTATAAATTTGGCACTTCACCCCATATAAGTAGTGCCTCCAAATCTTCAATGCAAACACCACTACTGCCAACTCTAAGTCGTGAGTAGGGTATCGCTTCTCGTGTTCTTTCAGTTGGCGTGAGGCATATGCAATAACTTTTCCTTGTTGCATTAGCACACAACCAAGTCCTAGCTTGGAAGCATCACTGTAGACTACGAACCTTTCAGTTCCTTCTGGTAAGTTCAATATCGGTGCGGTGCTTAACTTTTCCTTCAATACTCCAAATGCCTCTTCTTGAGATGATTTCCAATCAAACTTCACACCATTCTTTGTTAGTGCTGTCAACGGCGCCGCTATTCGTGAAAAGTCCTGAATAAACCTAATCCCAAGAAGCTTCGTATCTCAGAAGGGGTCCTTGGTGGCTCTCACTTCTTTATAGCGTCTACCTTGGCCGGATCTGCTTTTATTCCTTCTTGGGTCACCACATGCCCTAAAAATTGAACTTCTCGGAGCCAGAACTCACACTTCAAAAACTTCGCGTATAATTTTTCCTGTTTCAGCAACCTCAAAACCGCGCGAAGATGCTCCTCATGCTCATTCTCAGTGCGGGAATAAATTAAAATATCATCTATGAAAACTATGACAAACTTATCTAGGTAAGGTTTGCATACTCTGTTCATCAAATCCATGAAAGTTGCAGGTGCATTTGTCAACCCAAAGGGCATTACTAGGAATTCATAATGCCCATACCTAGTCCTAAAAGTTGTTTTAGGCACATCCTCCTCCCGGACCTTCAGCTGATGATAACCTGATCGTAGGTCGATCTTTGAGAAATAACTGGCACCCTGAAGTTGATCGAAAAGATCATCAGTCCTTGGAAGTGGGTACCTATTCTTTATGGTTACTTTATTAAGCTTGCAGTAGTCGATGCACATCCGCATTGTGCCATCCTTCTTTTTAACGAATAATACCGACGCTCCCCAGGGCGAGGTGCTAGAGCGTATAAAACCCTTGTCTAACAACTCTTGCAACTGAGTCATCAGCTCTTTCATTTCTGACGGTGCAAGACGATAGGGTGTTCGAGCTACAGGTGCAGCTCCCGGTACAATATCAATCTGAAACTCTACCTGTCTCTCGGGTGGTAGACTTGTCAAGTCATCTGGAAAGACTTCAGGAAACTCTCTCACAACAACAATGTCTTCCATACTCTTTTTCTCTTTCCTAGCATCTATCACATATGCTAAATAACTTTGGCATCCCTTTCTTACACACCGCCTTGCTTTAACTAGGGAGATCATGCTAGATTTCCTATTTCTTCTATCTCCATAAATTACTATGGTTCCATTATTGGGTAATTCAATCTGAATTATCTTTTTGTTACACATAATTCTTGCATGGTTTTCAGCTAACCAGTCCATTCCAATTATTACATCAAATTCCCCGAGAGTCATAGGGAGTAGTTTTATTGAATCGAACAACCGTCTATCTGAATATTGCAGTCATCATACTCCTCTCTAATTATCACCCTATTATCATCGGCAGTTTCTACCTCTATGGCTGAACTCAAAGGCTTCGGTACTTTATACAAATAATCACAGAAAGTTGTAGACACAAAAGAACGGTTTGCTCCAGAATCAAAGAGTACTCTAGCACGTACAGAGTTGACCAGAAAGGTACCTGTCACCACGTCTGGTGTCTCCTCGGCCTCTATTGCTGTCATGTGGAAGACTCTTCCTTTTGACTTAGGTACTTCAGGTTGCCTTTCCTCCCTTTTTCCATTTCGATTCCCACCTTGACCTGTAGTATGCTCATTCTTCTGCTGAGGGAAATTTGTTTGTATATGGTTGGGTGACTTACAAATGAAGCATAGTCGCTCCCTTTGCTCAACTTGGCAATCCTGAGACAGATGTCCTGGCTTCCCACATCGGTAACACATCCTCGGCTTAATCATGCATTCTCCATTGTGCACACGGTTGCATTTAGGACATAGTTTAGCAGCTTGCCCTTGCCATGTTTTCTTTTCTGAACCCAGAAACTTTGGCTTCCTGGTTTCATTGCTCGAACCTTCCCATTTTCTTTTTATTTGGCCCCGCTCAGCATTTTGACGATTCATCTCTTTCTCTCGAATTTCCGCAGCGTTTACTGCCTCTTGAAATGTGGTTGGACTCATAGTGAGAACAAATTCCCGGATGGATGCTTTCAGTCCCCAGATGTACCGCTCTACGCATCTTTCCTCAGTCGAAACACAGTGCTCGGCAAACCTCGCTTTTTCTGTAAAACTTGTTGTATACTCCCGGACTGTCATGATTCCTTTTTCCAACATCAAAAATTCCTCTTCCAGTTTCTTTATCGCAGTTCGGGGACAAAACTTCTCCTTAAGTTCGTAATTATTTCCCACCAGAAAAGGGCTTTTGATTTTAGCATGGATGTCGCAAATGTCACCTTATCTTCCTCCGCACACTTACTGATTTTGAAAATCACTTCTGTCTCTTTTATCCACCTCATAGATGCCACTGGGTTAGGGTCACCTTGAAAGGGTTGGGGCTTATATGCTAAAAAGGTCTTATAATTACAACCTTGTTGTCCTGTGCTCGTGTTGACAGGACTATTTGGTCTTGATCTCTCATGTCGGTCTTCTCTGTTGTTTGAATCGCTAACATCTCCTCTTCTATTGCTTATCGCCCTATCCTCCTGATTTCTCAGCTCTGCCTCTCGTACCTGAGCTATAACTGCAGGCAAGGCAACTTGCAAGGCTCTTGTCACCTCCTGAGCGATGATGTCCACAGGGGTAGCGGCGGTTTCCCTGGTTCGTCCTCGCCCCCTGCCTCGACCTCTTCCAGATGTAGAGCTTCCTTGCATAGAGGGGTCAGGTTCATTTTGTGTCGCTTGAGTCCTACCTCGCCCCCTTCCTCTTCCTCGTCCTCGTCCCCGCATGCTAGCGGTCTTTGCGGCCGCAGCCGATGCTGGTCGGGTCTCTTGTACAATAGGGGTAGCTCCTATAGGTGGTGGGTTTACTGCATCGGGTGTAATCGATGTTGTCCTTCCTGACCGTCGCGACATTATTGTTGTGTGCGTTAAACATTTACATTTATAAGCATATTTATTCATAACCTACTCATCCAACATTCACTCAATAAGATTAAACACTAAAATAATATATTGCATGCAAAAGATAAGTCAATACATAAGTCTTGCTTATTACGCCAAACTGGCTATTACACAAACCAAAATAAAACAAAATAAACCAAGCTCAAGGCCAGTTAATATCCAAAAATATCCTAACCAAAAAGTACTTAACGCAAGACTATGTTTCTTTCTCACCCTCTCACTCAAGGCATGTCCGTGGGGTAATTAATGATCTTCACAAATTCCTCATAAGTGTTATCTGGACAGTATTTCCAGATAAATCCCAAGCTCGGGCCATGATGGTATTGATGTGCCCAGCTGGAAAAGTACTCCTTGGTCAAGCTTACATATTTCAAGGCCACTCCATGGTAATAGCGAGCACGGTCTCCCAATCGCACTTTCCAAGACCGGGCGACAATCCTTCTTTCCCACTCTAACTCCACACACTTCCATGCCATGTCATGGTTGTTCTTCCAAAGTTCATCATTTTCTTTTAACACCTTGTTTAACTCTCCCCCTAAGTTAACATGTTCCATTTGCAAGTTGTTCAACCACAATTCCAYTTTGGTCTTTTCCACTTGAATCTTAGACAATTCTGTTCTCAGTTCATTATTCTCACCACACAAATTCGTTATATTCTCTTCTAAGTCCTCATGAGTAGGCGTGCGTGGGGTGTACTCCTCATAAGGCTCCTCCATTGGATCATAGGAAGAATCCTCAAAAGGTGTGGGTTGAGATGACTCAGCCCTTGAAACACTCACGTGACCCCTAGAACTGCTCCTCAACCTCCTAGAGTGTCTCCTACTGCGGCTAGAGCTTGTACGGTCACGTTCCCCGACTCCACCCCTTGGTCCTAGTCCAGCTACCGCACTACCTCCGGCCCTACCTCCTCGACGGCCAAAGCTCCTAGTATGCTTGGTATAAACCATATTCCTACAAAACCACAGTGAAGAATCTATCATCTTCCAACACACTTTCAAAAATTAAAAGCAAATTAACCAACTATAACAATATTAAATCATATAACCTTTTTCCTGTTTCTATCTTTTATACTCCATCTCAGTTTAAGCTTAGGCTAAAATTAATAACCTATTTATCTTAAACTAAGGCTTTGATACCACTTGTAAAGACCCAAATTTTTTTTTCTTAATATAATAACGTCGATACATAAATAAGCCATAAAGTCTAAATAGTTCAACGCAACGGAAGTATATATATATTTTAAAACTAATAAAACTTAAAAGGAACAATTGTCTAACGATATCCATATCAAATTCCGGATAGTCTCCACTCCAAGCCTTTATTCCGCGTTAGCCGGTTCTAAACTTTCTCATTTCCCTTGCTACTATTCTCGTGTATGAGACGACCTGGTTGCATAATTGTTTTTTGAAAGGAGTTGGGTGAGCCAAAGGCCCAATGATTTAACGGTTTAATGCATACACCACGTAAAAAAAATGGATTTCACAAAGCGTCATAATTTATCATGCATACAGTTTAAACAACACACTTCACAAAGCTAGTGGCGTACGAGAGATGACTACCTCACACAGCATTACCTGGCGAACTCACACATCATGTCCGCACTTACGGCTTAGACAAACTCACAAGGCATGTTTGTCTTTATGGAATCATACCATAGTACATCCCATTGCCACACGATATATTTCATAAAATAAGGCACGCTTTTACGCAAACATGATATTCAATTTTATAGAGAAAAATCCAGCAAGCTTGCATATAATTGTAAATAAAATGTGCAATCATTTTTAGAAAAGTCA